TAGTAATATTTGCATGCCTAAGATTTTATGCTTTATTTAATTGCATAGATTGAATCTATTGCATAGATGAAGAAGTTATACATATATACATTCATGCGTGCGTAATTCCTAAAATAAAAGTCATTTGCATTCAAATTTGACATTAGCAGCACCCCAAACTTTTAACTCCCCTTGATTTGAGAAAATGTAAGTGTTGTTCAAAAAAGCAAATAATAACAAAAAAGGATTATAACTGATGATAGCAGTCAAACTGAAATAGGACCCTCCAGAGATTTTCTGGTGCGTTTAACTCGTACCCTTCTCTAAGTACACAAAAGCGCCTGTATGTTTGGTTAATGATAGCCAGAAAGAAGATAGCAGGCGGAAAACTGGGAAGCGTTGATAAAAGAGTGAGAAGCTCAACAGATATTGCAATTCATTGTTTGTCTGCCAGTTCTACTTATGTGGTCAGATTACTTTCTCTTCCTAAAATAGTTCAATTCTTTCTCAGTTTTATCTGTTCAAGGGGCAATGTTTATTATTTGTTTAGGTCAACTTTAAGCTCGCCTAGTGAAAGGAAGATCACTGCAGAATTTAGGTTGGGGAAAAGAAGTCAGCAGAAACAAGTATGTTCAGTCTCAGCAATTTTAAGATGTATGGACTTCAACTCCCAGAATTCTTCAGCCAGCACAGCACACATTTTCTTGATATTTGCAACCAGAACATTCAGATTTGCAGGAATTCTGTGCTACCAATGAAAGAAAAAAAGAGGACAAAAGCAACTGAAAAAATATACTATTTTGTTTTAATAAACAAAGCCAGATATTTTTCAAAGAAGTGGGTGTGTTCCCTTTGTACTGAGATATTTCTGCCCATTGTAAAGGATATTCTTTCAGAGTTATTTAACAGCTACTTAATGCTGAAATGTACTGAGCGCACTAAGTTTTGCCCTCATATTGTTTCAAGTAAGAAATGTTTGTTGATGTAAAATTCAAGGGCTTTTGTTGTCCAGATGTTGTTGAATTCTGTAATTCCTTTTCTCCCATTTCCATTGTTATTGTTTCATCATTTCCAGATAGGAAAAAGATGAGAAGAGACCAAGCTGTGTCTGATTAAAACCATTATCTGTCTCTCTGACTCTCTCTCTCTCTCCAGTATACAAGGGCAAGGAAAATGTATTATTAACATCACTGGAACAACACAATACAGTACAATTTTATTTCTAGCATGATTGACTGGTGATTAAGAAAAACAGGTATATGTTTTTGGATATCTTTTTTTGTTGTTCTGATTTGCTTTTCTCTTTTTTTTTCTTTTTTTTTCTTTTAGGCAGGTGACATGATTAGAAGTTAGCTAGGATAGAAAGGAAAATATTTTAAATAAAGGATGACATGATTAAAAGCTAGAATAAATGATAGAAATAAGAGAAGGGGAAATATTAGTGTATACACCTTTGTATAATAAAATAAAAGTAATAACAAGAGAAAACATGGAACATTTGAATAATGACAGATTGCAACCTAATATAAATATGTATCATTATTAGAAATAGTTTGATTGAATGTAATAATCATGATTAAGTTTATTAGTTTTATTTGTATTAGAATGTATGACACCCAAGTGCCACACTGTTCACACATTGATTTGATATACCTATTTGTAATAAAAATAAAAATAAAAAAATCTTAAAAGAAAAAAGAAAGAAAGAAAAACAGGTATGAAGCCTACTGAAGTACAGTGGATCTAATTTGCATCTTTTTCCTTTGCAAAAATTTAAAATGTACCACATTAAAAGGTTCAGCATGTCGCGGCCACATTTATCAATGTCACAGGGAAATAGATAGCAGGAAACCTGGTCTAGATCTTTTTCACTCCCTTATGTGGAAATAATGTTGGAAATGCTTTTAGTATAATGAAGAGAGCAGAAGACTATATATATTCTGGCTATTGCTCTTTTTCCTAAGGTAAATTTAATGAACATTTGAATAGAATAGAATAGAATAGAATAGAATAGAATAGAATAGAATAGCAGAGTTGGAAGGGACCTTGGAGGTCTTCTAGTCCAGTGTTTTTCAACCACTGTGCTGCGGCACACTAGTGTGCCATGACATAGTGTAAGGTATGCCGTGGGAAAAACACTTTATATATAGTCAATATAGGCACAGAGTTAAATTTTTTTAACATTTTCTAATGGTGGTGTGCCTCGTGATTTTTTTCATGAAAAAAGTGTGCCTTTGCACAAAAAAGGTTGAAAAACACTGTTCTAGTCCAACCCCCTGCCTAGGCAGGAAATCCTAAACCACTTCAGACAAATGGTTATTCAACATCTTCTTAAAAACTTCCAGTGTTGGAGCATTCACAACTTCTGGAGGCAAGTTGTTCAACTGATTAATTGTTATAACTGTCAGGAAATTTCTCCTCAGTTCTAAGTTGCTTCTCTCCTTGATTAGTTTCTACCTATTGCTTCTTGTTCTACCCTGAGTTGTTTTGGAGAATAGTTTGATTCCATTTTCTTTGTGGCAACCCCTGAGATATTGGAACACTGGTATCATGTCTCCCCTAGTCTTTCTTTTCATTAAACTAGACATTTGTAAATGGCATTAATTGATCACTTGCAAAAGTATCCTAAACCAGGGGATTCCCAGTCCCAGTCCATGGACCAGCACCGGTACACAGCATGCCAGAAACTGGGCCCCTCAAACAAGTGAAGCCCTATCCGTGGGATGCAGGCAGCATGCAAATCACACCCCATGCGGCCCACAGTAAAACATATTTCCATGTGTAAACTGTCTTCAGTACATGAAGGATTGAAGTAAAATGAACTGAAGGATTCAGCAGCTGTACTTATTCTCTAGCGCCCTCTAGAGGTGTAGACAGAAATGCCACATGGATAGTTGCCATGAGGCTAAAATATATTGAAGATAACTTTAAAAAAACACCCAGCTTTGATTGGTGAAAAAGTGAGATCGAAATCCTTTGCAAAATAGATTATAGAATTATTTTTTTAATTGTAAGAAGAGAATATTGTTCGAAGAGGAGGGTTTCACATAATTTAAGAAGGATATGGAATTGTATTGTATTATTTGTATTTAATAGATTTATAGGCCGCCCAATCCCCGAGAATTGAAGCATTAAAATGAACCCTTGGAGGAAATAACCTTCAGGTGCTGTAGTATTCTAATTTTTGTGGTGTAGGAAGTTAGCATCCACTCTCTCCTAGAAAAATGAAATATCCTGGGAAATATTGAAAAGGCAAAATATTATATTTCACTGGATCAGAAAGGGAGAAACATGTTTTTAGGCAGGAAACAGACTCACTCTTAATAGCCCCCACCTTCAATGGGCCATTAAAAGGCCTGAGCCAGTCTATTCTACATTACAAAGATCCCCCTTCAGATCCAGGGTGATGGGATTAAGGCATGATAGCATTAGCCCTTTACCCATCTCACCACAGGGCACCTGGGAAGAAGCAATGCTCAACCAAGCTAGGGATTCAAAAGACACATAACCTACAAAGTTAGCTAAGACCACTCCGCTGCCCCCCCGCCCCCCGCTGCCACCCCTTGGAGTCTGACAGCTAATCAGAATACATTTCTTACACAGGAACAGGAAACAGAGAGGCGGGGCCGAACAGGGAGGATCAAAAACTCAGGAACTCTCAGCAAGCCCCTTTTTTCTCTCTCTTTTCTTCTTCACCCAACATCTGGAAGCTTGTGATCCCCCTTTTCTGTTCTGGAGCTCAAGCCATGTGATCCTGCCCACCGTTAAACCATCTTTCCAAGCAGCCTCCATGTTTCCAGTGTCTTTTGCCCCACTGGGAGCTGAACCCAGAAGGACATTACATTTCTTCCAACAGTGGGCTACTACCGTTATTAAGTAAGCACTTGTCACAAGAACCAAGGTTTAAGCTGCTTGAATGTCTCTAGAAAAATAGCTGTTCAAACTTGATAGGGGACAACAAACTCTTGCTTTTTCAAGAAAATGCACGAGGAATTTCTTTTTCTGCTCTCTCAGCCGTATTTAAAGATGCATTGAAATCGAATGGACTTCGTTTTTTGAAAAGCAACATCAAATAAATGCAAGACAACTTAAAATATAATGAGGGTCACCTGAGAGAGAACTTTTATGGGGGAAAACATTAATTTATTATATGTTATGCATTAGCCTTCTTGTTGCCTGGTAGCAGTGGTGGGTTCCAGCTGGTACGGGTGTCCCAGTGCCTGCTGGGAGTAGCAGGGATCGTTCACTACGGTGCTTCAGAGGACCTACCCGCCCGCCTGCATTCCTTATCTGTATTTGACCCAACTGGGCCATTTGCCCATGCGCACTCAGCATACAGCACATGCACACTCAGCATACAGCGCATGCGCATGAAGCGTACAGCACCTGCACAATGCTCCACCGAGCAGCTGGAGTGTCACGGGCAGTGGGTGCACATGCGGCATAGCACGCGTGCACGTGGTGGACACACAGCCCCGTCGCAGTATGCTGGTTGCGACGGGATCCGGAACCCACCACTGTTGGTTAGGCATCTGTTGGGGATGCTATAATGGTGGATTCCTCCACTGGGTAGTGGGATTGACTAGGTCAGTGATGGCGAACCTTTTTGACACTGAATGCCCAAACCGGAGCACGCGTGCATGTGTGCGCATGTGCCAGAGTGCTGGAATTCCGAAGACCAGCTGGTTGGTGCATGCATGCCTGTTTTTTGGCTGCTTTTCGGGCTGTTTTCAGGCCATTTTCAGGCAATTTGTTGGCCTGAAAACAACCCGAAAACGGCCTGAAAACAGCCCCCCAAAACAGCCTGTTTTTTAAATCAGAAGAGCAGCTGGCGATGCCACCCGTGCCCACAGAAAGGGCTCTGTGTGCCACCCCTGGCATGCATGCAATAGGTTCGCCATCACGGGACTAGGTGATCACTTCCAACCTTCATATTCTGTGGAAAAAAATACTGCAGCAGGTAAACAGCATCCGCTCCCAGTACATAGCTATGGTATATTATACCTACTCTCCAATAAGTATTTATACAATACAAATGATATTTTAACATTAACAAGAAATTACTATGTTAGGACAAAGAGCAGGGATTGTATAAATACACTCCAAAGAAGCTGATTTCTTTAAAACAAACCTAGAGAACTTGGCCATTTAATATTTTGAATTGTGTTAGGCACAAGGAAGAAATATGAAATACGGTGTTGTATATCAGGCAACTTAGGACCCAGTGTCCAGATAAGGCAAAATCTCCATCCGTTTTGACATGACGGCTTGTATCCTGTGTTCTTTCTGACCATCAACCGCAAAAATTGACCCTGATTGGCTTGATCAGTGCTACAACTGTGTGTGTAGGAATTTTTACAGTTGATCCTTCTTGCCCATTCAGGTCTGGGAGATCAATTTAATTTTCAGCAATGTGGTGCATCCGTTTAGCCACTGCTGTAATTAAGGCTGCTCCTTTCCCACTTCCATCTTCAGACAGCATAAAAGTGACATCACATTGTGGTGCCAGCTCCTTCACCGTTTCTTGCAAAATCCTAGAAAAGCTAAACGGAAAAAGAAGAAACACAAGCAAATTTTGACATATACAATGTTTTGCACAATCCAATTGCAAATGTAAGAAATGGTTTAGGTTGCAAAGACTGGAGAGGGGGGGGGGCGCAGAGTGAAGAGGATACTCTGAATGTCTTGTAATGTTCTCAATCCAATGAGGGCAAAATTTTGTAGTGTGCGCCCAAGTTAAGAAGGCAAACTTTGCTCTCAAATCAATTAGAACATTATGCAGTATGTAGTATACTGGCTAAAGGAGACAGTGGCTCATTGGTTAAGATGCTGAGCTTGTCGATAAGAAAGGTCAGCAGTTCAGTGGTTCGAATCCCTAGCAGGGTGGCCTCCTTTTACTTGTCCCAGCTTCTGCCAACCTAGCAGTTCGAAAGCATGTAAAAATGCAAGTAGAAAAATAGGAACCACCTTTGGTGGGAAGGTAACAGCGTTCCGTGCACCTTTGGCGTTTAGTCATGGCGGCCACATGACCTCGGAGACATCTTCGGGCAGCGCTAGGTCTTCGGCTTTGAAATGGAGATGAGCACCGCCCCCTAGAGTCAGGAATGACTAGCAGATATGTATGAGGGGAACCTTTACCTTTTTATTATATCGGCAATTGTCATTTAATCACCACATTTGGGGCTGGTAATTCTGTTGCTAAGGTGCATGGTTGATAAGTAAGAGATCCTGTTAAGTTTACAACCTCACTTACACTGTGGTTAAGTGAATCGCTTGCAGTCATTAAGTGAGACATCACATGACCATGTATTGCTATTTCTTCTCCATTGACTCTGCTTGTGAGAAGTTAGCTGTGAAGCTCAATTATGATGATCAAGTGGCCATCCACTGGTTGCAAAGCATCAGAATCTCGATCACATACTCACACAAAAAGCCTGACTAGGTAGCTCAGTGGCTACAACACTGAGCTTGTTGATCAGAAAGGTTGGCAGTTCGGCGGTTCGAATCCCTAGTACAGATCTCTTACGTGAGCAAAGGGTTGGACTAGATGACTCCCAAGGTCCCTTCCAGCTCTATTACTGTTTATTGTTTACAGGGACATTGCAATGATTGTAAGCACCCAGAATGGGTCATAATGTTACTTTGTCAGTGCCCTTGTAACTTTAAACAGTTGCTAAACAGGTCAGTCAGTAAATGAGGTCTCCTTGTTTGTTCTTTGTAAGAGCAAAGGATTTAAACATGTTGCAGATGTAACTTTAGATGGCCGGTTTCTAAGCTACTCCGCTGCTAACAAATACAAAGAGGAGGTGAGCTCTACCCAAAGATTCCTTTCAACCTTTTCCTTTATCTCTTGCTCCGCCAGTCCTTATTTAGAAGGTTATTGATCACAGTGTCCATCTCCCTCCCCCTGTTCTTTTCTGGTCTTCTACAACAGGGGAGTCAAACTCGATTTCATTAAGGGCCACATCAAGATTGTCCCAGGGGTGGGTTTCCATTTTTTTTTACTACCGCTTTGGTGGGTGTGGCTAGATGGGGCAAGTGACTGAGTGGGCGTGGCCAACTTGACATCACTCATGCACACTCAGTCACATGACCCCCTCACCAAGCCATGCCCACCAAAACAGTGGCGAAATGTTTTGACCATTGGGGGGGGGGGGGGCTTCAGTCTCGCCGGAGCTAAGGGAGCGCCTGCAAACTACTCAATAAGAAAAAAATGTTTTGGTCCTCCAGGAATACTCTGCAGCCTTCAGCAGGGCTGGGGGAAGGCAAAAACACCCCCATTTTTGCGAAAAATGGGCAGAAAATGGGTCCCTTTTTTTTCC